CTATAGTTATCTCTAAATCCAAATGACGTCGCGCAACAATCATCACTTCTCTTTCTTGCTCTTTCGCCTTCTGTGAATTGGTTCGCGTTAAATCATCTATCCGGAAGTAAATACGAGTGAATCACTGTTTATCTATGTTTTGCACATTTTGATGATTATAATAGGATCATCAGAAATCAGAGAGGTAAGAAAATGTCACGTTTTCAGCACCCATTGGTTGGCTGAACAACCAACAGCACTTGACAGGTTGCAATTTTCGCACCAGGGAGGCTTTATATTCTATCCATATACCCGAGATGAGCTTTGGAATGTACTTTCCTAAAGTAGTTTGGAGGCTAAGCACTTAGTAGGAAAAGTATTTGAGGTAGCAATGGTTGAAGGAAGTGGAGCCGCACCTATTTATTTTATTGGTGGGAGGGCGTCAAGGTTAGAGGTTGGCGGTTAGGAACTGAAGAGAATGGCCTTTGCCATAGAAGCCGATTGTGATGCAGGGGAAGAAGGGAAAATGCTTTATGGACTCGAGGGAGCTTAGGTGTAGGCGATCATTAAGAAGTTCAAAATGGATGGATGTTGTCTGATGATTGATTGGTTCTACCAAGAAGCCATATTTAAGGCTATAGGCCCAGTTGAAGAATCTTGGTTGATCGATTAGCGATCATCTAAGGCCTTTTCGGACTGGACTGTAATAGTCCTAATAACCAACAGCCATAATTAAGACATGGAAATTTAGGAAATTAATCGGAATCAGTGTGCATGTTATTAATGAAGAACTGAGAGCCGGGGTAGTCGTAACAGATAACCGGACACAGCTGTTCATTTGAGAAACAGTGGCCATGTCCACAACTTAACCGTCTGAATGACGCACGCAACTCCGCTAGTTCTATACGTAGGATGATGTATGTCTATAATATAAATGTGGTCAAGGTAAGAGGAACGTGTATCGACACGCAGAGTTGGCCATTGGAGACTTGGGCAAAGGCTTTAAGCACTTGATACGAAGTATTTAGTGTTCAGTATGTGAGTATTTTTATTATTCCATTTATTCAAAAGAGACCTTTTTATCTTGGTTGCATGGTATAGATGAGGTTGAGGTGACAGGTCAAGAAAAATAGAACGTAACAGTAGATTACCAAATGTTTTTTGTAATCTAGTAATATCGTCCAAACTCAAGTTGACGAGAGCAATATATTCATTGGGGAAAGTATGCACTTATTCGTCGAAGTCACGTGAAAAATCGAACTGAACTATGATATTTTATTTACCAAGTGAATAGGTTTCAGTAAATACCACCAGACTTTGTTTTTGTGACCTTAAGATTTTAACTTGTTGACTCATAGCAATTCAAATATCCCATGGATCTAACAATAGTTACTACAGGTACCCTTAATAAAATTATATGCAAGAAGGCAATATAAAAGCAGGTCCGCATAGTTTCTGATGAGACCCCACACTTCCTGCACATCATACCGTCAAACAATAAACACACTAGTCCGGCATGGAATGGGAGGATGACATTATTAAAACAAGTGGCAACCACTTTTGCGTATTAAGACCGAAATATTTTCCAAAACTGAATACCTATTGTTAATGTGTGAAAACGAAAACCACTGGCGCCCGATTAGCAACTATCAATCGCATCCCAGTGTTTTGTAGAAATGGATAACAACTGGCCACCAATAACACTTCAAGAACTATTGGAAACGCCATTACTTACCAAGCCCATTATTATTTCGCTCACTAATTACAATAGTAAAAGGTTTTCTGAAAAAATTTCCACAAGAAATAATGCCCCATTCAGTGGCTAAAAGTTATTACCCTACCACTTGCAAAGTGATTAAAAGACAATCGGGAGTTCGAGAATTTATTGTAACTTGAACAAAAAAAATTAATACGTTGCACGCACGCCGCTACTGGGGCGTACAACTTTCCGCGCAAACAAACGTACAATCAATGGCCAATCAGAAGACTCCGTGTTTAAACTAAGTAACCAAGCCGAACATGACTAAGCTTCTTGCTTGTGCATATCATTTACAATAAGCTTATGAATAAACTCGCTCCGTAATATGCGTCTGATTCCTCAATAGCTGGGATATAGATAAGCTAGTTCTGGGTGTCTAGCTAAATGTTGGAGAATCTACCGGAGATTTCTGAGTCAGTCAGGCTTCCCTAGTGTAACAATCCGCTACAGGCATTAACGATATCGTATTCTACAAAAGAAAAAAAACTTAAGTGTATGTCAGACAAATGCCTCGGTTTATAACATCTCTTAAGATTCAAACTCGTCATCGTGTCATCACAAAACCCACCTTTTGTCTGGACGACTGACGGGCCGCAGTGCCTTGCAAAGTGAAAAAGCATCACGCGCAAGCCTTAAAAAGAATAGATTTGAGTGATCATCAGACAAATGCCTCAATTAATAACATGTCTTAAGATTCAAACTCGTCATCGTGTCATCATCAAATACTCACCATAAAGCTTGAAGTTTCCATAGCCTATTCGTGCCCAACGAATCTAAAATAGATTGACCATTAGCGAAAGCATAAAAGAAAGAACATCAGACATGGAAAGCATCATGGGTCAGAGTCTGCCCTAAATTTTCATCACTGCTTACCCTAAATGTTTCAGCTGGGCAAAACTGAGACAGTCATTATCATGACTAAGACACCGAATGCGCCAATGCTTCACAACAAAACAAGCACACACAACGCCGAGCACTGCATTAATGAAACCACGCTATCACGCTTGATCAGAAAGACACAGGGAACCGTAGATTAAAACGATAAAATGTACTTCGAAGGATAATTCGACTAAGAAGAAATATATAGAAATTATAATACAATTTTTCTTTGGTAATTATTAAAGCTATTCAATATATTTCGTCAATTCAGTTCAACTGACCTGGATCTTAATTATGGCCACATATTGGACAAATACACTAATAAGCATTCCTAAAACACCGCATAAATGTAAAATCAAATTAAACTTGAGGTAAATAGCTTTTAGGTTTGTATTAACTTTACTTTATTTTCCTTATTTAAAAGATGAGGTTTCTAATTCAATAAAATATGGCATTTCCTATTTGAAGTGTTTGCTATTATTAGGCTTACAATGTTGATGTTGATTTCTTTGTTTATCTTATAATTGAGGTGAAATGCTTTTTCTTAAACTCAAAACAATATAATTTCATAAGTTTTCTTAGCCCAACTGAACGGGTATTCCAAATCTGAAATTCCACGATCAAAGAGACGCTTATTCTAAAACACGAATTTATTATCTTCCACGAATTTGATTGCCTCCCTCTCTAAATATTTATCAGAGAGACACCAAATAAAGAGCCTGAATATTCTTGGATAATATTTTGTGATAAAGATCATTTAATAATATCTCAAGGTTTATTTATTTTCTTTGCTGCCATTTAAAAATCATTAAAATTAAATGACATAACCAAATAGTCACATATTAAAAAACTCCTATTTCAATGAAAACGTTTTATTGATTTATTTAACATAAAGCATGTCATTAAAAATCCGATCATATTCTAAACAGAAATTTTTATATTTCACTTGCAACCTATAAGCTGTTCACCTTATTGACTACACATATTGTAGTACTTTAACCTCAAAAATCTCCAACCTCCTAAAAAGATGTAAGAACTTATAGACTTGGAATTAGTTGCCTAAAAATTATTCTTCCTGTTTGGTTGCGAAAGCCGAATGGGAAATTTTCAAACTCCCATTTAAATGAATCACTTCGGTTGAACGTCACTTTTGTAGCTTGAAAATTATAAAATTTTGGAACTTCAGTGGTCTTTAGTACTTCAAGCATAAATAATATGAGAAAAATATTCAATCAATGATGATCTTTCTATACTCAAAAGAGTGTTAAGATTTAAATATTGTTTGGCCTTATACGTCAATCTGGCAATCATAATCAACCATTATCAACTGTGATGACTGTTGACATCTTGCAAAATTTAAAACCTGTTGAGAAACGAAACCACTTCTACGAATATTAATGTCAAATGGCAGACATTTTGATAGTTATCATAAGCCCTTTAGTTGACTTCAGGCTTCACAAAGAAGAAGGAATATCAAAGTGAAAAATAGTCGAGAGGGGGAGGGGGGAACCGAAGAGTATTTCAAAGATGTAAAAGAGACAGACACAAAGGAAGAGTGAAAAAGGTGAGGTGAATACTGTGGAAGTAGTCGAATATGACATACAGTGAGGGGATGGTGTTCTGAAGTTGGAAGTCAAATGCCGAATAATAGATTTTTTTGCCGTATGAGAATAAGTTGCCCAGGGTGCACCACGTGGAGATAAGTCTATCACACACCACACTTCTACGAATATAAACTTTAAAATGTAAAGTTTTGAACTTTGATTTGTCAAAAATATATTTCTAGATAATTGTTTATTCCAATCGAGTTTGAGTTTCAAATGAGTACTCTTTACTCCCTGCACCAAAAAAATACTTGAGGAATTTATGGATGGTTATTAACTTTCAATCACATTTCACCATTAAGACATATTTATTTTACTTAAAAATTTAGGATTTTAAGCTTGAGCGAATATCTGCCCTCTATGTAACCTACAGGAGGAAATGGAGAAGACCCACCTGATTCGGTGTCCAACCCTAAAGATAAGGACGGAAAGCCAAAGATACTGGGAAGCAAGAAGACAGCTAATGAATTGCTATAAATTATCTCCTTAGGGGAAGCTGAAGTCAAAGATTAAAGGCTAACGATATATATCATAAAGCCTGCCATTTAAAATAAATATAAATAAATATAAAGAGTATATCTTACAAAATGAAATCCTATGAAAATTTCATTCTGAAATGAGAACATATAACCTTAAGGATCTTTAAATGTAACAAAAGCATGTTTTCGTTGGCAACTTTACAAATTATATGATTTGACCTTGTGTGGTTTTTATTGCGCGTTTTAATATTGCTATTGATTTTTCCGATTAAGAGTGGCCTGTAAATATTTTTCTCTTTGATGGTTCGATTGGTTGTAAAGAAGGGAGACCAGCCCCAGTTTCTACTGGATACTCCAGCAGCAACCGGTACTAGATCTCTGATTGAAACTATCTGTGAAATATACAATTTTCGCCTTAAGGTTTTTCGTATCGCCGATTATTTATCTGAATTGGCTGATCATGGAGTTTCACTTCCACCAAATATGCAGGTAAGAGCCTTCTACTTTTAATAGTTATTTTTATCTCCCTAGGGATTAACGGATGAACAAATCGAGGAGCTCAAATTGGTTGATGAATGGGGTCAGAAATGTATCCCAAGCGGTGGGTTTGTTGAAAACAAAGATGTTCTTGGTCGTAGGAATGGAAAAGGTATATTTTAATCCGTAAACTAACAATTTTTAGCTCCCAATGAGAAAATGACCGAAGTGTTAACCAAAACTGCAACAACAGCCAAAGAATTGATTTCAAAAAAATTGATTGATCAAGGTAAAGCGCTTACTAAGGAATTAGTGAATGAGGCCTTTATGATGCTCAGTGGTGCTGTGACTATTGTCTACCCGATGGGATTACCCCCTTATGATCCTATTCAAATGGAATTAAAAAATGAAGAGGATTTGTCCGGTACCCATGCTGGATCTGAAGTGATTCCTTTCGAGGAGGGAACGCTGTGGTTTTCTGGCAAGGAATTGCTACCTGGAAAGCTTCTCTCAGATTACGTTGGAATGAATGAGAAAACTAAGATCATTGTAAAAATTCAGAAGAGAGGGTCTGGAGCACCTGCTAGAGAAGCTGTGATAAGTGAGGCGGATCAGAAAGCAATGATGGCATTTTACTATCGTAGGCAAGAGGAATTGAAAAAGCTTGAGGAGAATGATGATGATTCTTACCTCAATTCTGTGTGGTCGGAACCTGGGCAGTTGAAACGGCAGTTTCATGGGCTTGGAGATATTAAATGGGGACCTCGTTAGATTTGGAGCATTTTGTTTTTCTTTTTTTGTATTACTTTTAAAATAACATACCGTTTATCTTGTTTAACCTGTGTCACTCCATTTGGTATTTTTATTGGATATTTAAACTAATATTTCAATTATAGACAACATTGAATTTGACTTCTAACTACAATTCGATTAATAAAATGGCCATCCACACCTTCTGATAATGGTCAAACGATAATAGAGAATTAGTTGTTGCATTGAGGATGTCAATTCTTTATCTAACAGGAGTGATGATTAATGCTCTCTGAAAATAGACAGTCGCCAACTTTTCTGAAATATGCTATTCTGTCCTAAGAGTCTAGTTTCTGACGCTACGATATTAATGCATTTTTTATAGTGGGCTCAGAGTAGAGAGAATGAGTTAGGAAGGAAATCAGCTGAACCAAGACACTTTAGTGATGAAACAAAATCATTATGGGAGAATACAAGCGGCTACATGTAACGGTTTTGTCCCAAATAACTGGAAAAAATGTCAGAAGAAACGTGCGATTACTTATCGATTAAGGTGAAAGGCATTTGTCTCAATCTGTGGATATTCATCATCTCTGGATAAATCACAAATACAGCAATTTCGTTCCGTAGACTTCCTATCTGTTTCCCTTTATGATTATGTCCACTTATGGAACATGTCTCAGGGCTTTGAAAAACCCGTAAGTGGTTATAGGCCATCCCTCGAAACTGTGATTGAAACGCCACGAAAGTTAGTATTGAGTATAGAATTCAAATGATGCAATAAGTTGGCTACTTGGCCCAACATTTGATCTAGACCAACAACATGTATTTATTTCAAATGGCAGGCGTTTTGATAGATATCA